GGAAAGAAGAAGAGGCGATGGAAGATGAAGATGAAGGGCAGAATACGATTCTAGAATTGTTGGGTGACAAATCAACGATAGATTAAACGAGGACAATATGCTACGTTCCTTCCTTACTCAATGAAGGGATTGATGAGCTGGATCCCAGTCTCTTTAATTATTCCTCAAGAAGCGCCCGATACATAATGAATAATGCCGTTTACACCTTGTGATCTATTCGTAGTAACTACCAAATTCTGTAACAGCTTGTTTGATTTTGCACAGCAGAGAGGAAAGCTTAAACCGCTGTTTAAGGCGAGTCGTAAATGACAATGACTTTATACTGACCACTTTCATACTTTAAATCAACTTTACATTAAACCTAATTATAATTATAATCACGGATCACTGCGAATAAATCAAGACAAGATCACAGGAAGCAGAGCGACAATGATGTTTCATCTTACCTTTCGATTTCTGATACGTATTTTGTGGAAAACTTTCCAAACGTGAACAAGTCATCGGTACCTCTGCCCTCGAAAAGCAGTCCAAGACGGACAAGCTTCTCTAGAACTTGTCGAACCAGCTCACCCATATACATCCCTGATATCATCTTCTCGAATCTGAAAGCCGACGGCCGCATTAAAGGGGAAAAGTAAGCATGACTGATCGCTCTTACTTCTGCCTTCCAGAGTTGATCGTTAAAGCGTCAAGAGCATCGTCAAAAGGGGACCGCAAAAAATCTATACACCCGTTGTCTCCAAACGCGCCCCATTCGGTATTGATGATCATCTGAAACCGTCACTAGTTGTTACCTCATCAAAGCATGCGAAAATCGTATGATCACAGATCTGCCGTTACCTCTTCTGATTTTGTGTCATTCAGCTTTGGACAGCGCGAAAGCTTTTCAGTATAGCAAGCGTTTGTTCCAGTGCCTGAAAAAGAATGTTCATATGCTGCTGCTCAAAGGCAAGACTTTTGGAGCAGAAGTGAAATCCTAAGCGACGTACCAACGATGACACCAATGTGGCAGTTGCTATCCCGATGAGCCAATGCCATCTGAGTTCCAACGGTGTCATTCAACAAAGCTATCACCTCGACGGCAACGTCCTTAGCACAAACAAGAAAGAGGTAAAACACAACGGGTCTCGACAAGAACAAAAACATACGTACATTTCGACGAGCGATCGCGTCTCGAAGACTATCCACTACGTTGGCTCCAACAACATCCTTGCAGTTGAACCCTTTGGTCCATGAGATGAGCTTGGCATCGGTCAAGCTGACCTGCTGGCAAGGAAATGAGAAAGTAAATCCGAGAGGTAGATTTTCTTCAAGTTCATTCTCCTTCACAAATTTTGACAAGCAATTCGCAATGTGATCGAATAACTAAAACAAGGATATGCTTTATATAATTTCTTAAACACGTGATTCATGAAGCGCTGCACTCTGCTCTGGGAGTAACAGGGCAATGGAAGCTCTTCATGACGTTAAAAATGAAACACTCCGTAAAAAGTTGCATGCGCAAACATTTGGAGGATCTTAGAGAAACAATTATAAACTGAAGCACTGAAGGTCAGCTTGATCACATGATCCATTTTGTCTCGTATGCTTCGTTCAGGGTACAGTCGGCTGTGTTTGTTAGACATACAGGGCTATAGTAACCGTACTTAACTGTACCCTATTACATCGCACTCCTTATACCAAATGGCAACGTTATATTTAAAGCTTGATCACACTGACATTATTCTTCTTGTTATGCATACCTCGGACTTTCCTACAGCTCTCAAGCTAAGAGAGATAAATCTGAAAATGTGGTGTCGAATTCTGCAAGTCGCTTCCTTTCCTTTTACCCTTACAGATGTGAAGTTTGGGCTTAATATGTCGAAGACGTCATGAAACTAGAATCTTTCTACAGCGGTCTTTATGAAGCATTTCGTTGACATGATTCATCGAGGACATATTCAACGCCACAGTCGGTGTCGGTTGCAATGCCATCGGTTCTTTACTGTTTTAGAGAACGGGCGACTGCGTTGGCTGCGATACAAGACGGTATCATTTCCATTACACTGAATGCTACCTCGATTTTTGGATGAAACCAAAAAGGAGGAGGAGAAGTTAAGACCTAATGGAACACTGTCAGAGCTAACTGCCGTAATGCACAGCGGTGGAGGGCAGCGTTCCGGAACTCATAGGAGCTGGCTAAGCTAGTTGTGGCAATCGTAAAAACGACTCCGCGAATTCCCAGCTGATGAAGTTGTGCCTATAGCCATGTTATAATATTTGAAGTACAATGAAAATGAGCATGTAAAAACGAGTACGAACGCATAAGGGAAACAGTCAGATACATTCTTCTTCCCCGCTTACCGTTTCACCATTGCCGGACATGAGAGACTGAGGAATACGATAAGTATGATGCTTCATCTCCGCTTCACGCTTATTCAATCGGATCAAAAGTACGCGAAAGTTAGTACCTCCAAGGTCAAGAGCCAAGTAATCACCGACCTCGGTTCCATTTGGAAGGGAACGAACAAAAGACGGTAACATTTTTATACAACTGTTCGAGTTTAACGCTAGTCCTTTGTCCAGCTCTTTCTCCATCACGGACATCATTTGCCTCAGCTGCGCATCGCTCAGTTCCAACTTTTTTAGCTCTTGATATACCTGAAAAAACAAAGTAAGAGAAAATGAGAATCTACTCCACAAAAAAAGTAAACAGGAAGGAATTGAAAAATAGATTTAATACCTTAAAGAAAGAACGAAATACACATAAAAAGCCATAAAGCATTTTATTTTGGTCAAAAATCATTGAATTTATTGATGATATCGAATTAAACTTAATTTTCCTGATATATTACAAAATATTATTTAGCCTTCAGGAATGCGAGCAGAATCATCAAAAATTATGCCGAACGGCATAAAACAAGCAAAAAGTATTCACTTATACATAATGAAGTAGTCGGAAAGACATGTACAGTTTCTTAAGGTAATCAATTAAGACAAGACGGTTAGAAGTCTAAAATAAAACATTTTAATAAATGAAACTTCCGGAACAGAGAACGGTGTTCCTAGTTTATATTTTAACAATACGGTCATCAGCTTGCGTAAAACGGTGCCGTCTAATTGCAACAATTCGTCGACTTGTAGAACCAAAATCCAAAATTTATCGTCAATGCTTAAAAGTAATGACTACGACAGCGCTCCAGCATTATCTCTTTTTTCAAAGTAATAATCTTACCCTCCCATCTAAACATAATCGTAACATCTTTACCTTTCAATCTGAATCTGCTTACATCCCTCCGTAGCTGTCTAAATAACGCTGATTTCAAATTAATTTCTAAGACAGGCATCACCTTACCCAACGCTAACATTTTACAGCAGAAGATCCAGTTAAAAACTGGACTGTTTGCCAGTGGATTGTAAAAGTTGTCAATTTATCGTTCGTCGGGATGACAAAAAGACGAATTAGAACCTTCGAAAAGGAAATAGGGCTTCTTTTGAGCATGAAATGAAGAACATTCAACCATTGATAAATTACATCGCCTTAGTGTCAAGGATGTGAAGATGTTCGATCAAGACAACATTACTGCTAATCTCATAATAGGGGAATCGGCCTTCATTAAATCATTTGGTGCTGCTGGTGTTAATGACAAGTTAAGCTTCAAAGATGTACTCCCTAGTTGAAACTTCATCGTAAATAATCTAATTTATACTATTCAATCTCTAGGCATTTTCATTTTTAAAGTTTATTTCCTTTCTTTTTCTCCATATCTTAATATTGTTTGCATTTCTGGATTGTCTCCGTTACAATGCTTTAAGCGTAAGCTTGCTGATCTTTGTAATTACGATAGCTTGGATGTACATGATATTTTGTGCTGAAGAAGGGATAGCACCGATCTGGGTTGCGAAAAATTCGGTTACTCAAGTGTGAAATTAGAGGTTTATAACATTTTTTTTTATCGTAATCTATAATAAAGTAATAGTGGCGCTTTCTCGAGTAAAATAGCGCGCAACTAAGGACCGCTTTGCAAGGCAAACGTACATTTCACTGCGACGTTAGCAAGAAACATTTTTCGCACACTACTACCGAAGTGGTACTTATTAATCATAGGCAGGCTCCGACGTACGTAAATTCGGATTTAACGCAAATTATCTTAAAAGGGCTATCGAAAAAAATTGACGCAAAAATTGACTTAACACAAATACTCCACGTAAGAGCGGCTTCACGCAAGGCATACGGACACCCTTTATTTACTGTTAAACAAGGAAGCCCTGCCTATTTGTATTCATGCAAGTTAATTCCTAGTGCTTGCCTGCACTGTGGTAGAGTATAATCATGATTTATAAGCAGAAACCACTGTTCATTGATACTGAAACAATTTTATGGGGAAGGTCGAATGGAGAGATTAAATTTATTTCATTTTTCTGTTTTTAAGTTGCTATATTAGTATATATTGAAGTGTACTCCTGTGAATGAAAGAAACAAAAATAACCGTTATAACGTTAACGTACTACTGTATAGTCGTATTGTAAACATGTCAGCAATAGAGTGTGATTAACCGCTGGGCTTTAGTTAAATCGGGCTTCGCAAAATTCATTACATAAAGGTTTCGAACGTAACTGTTACATAAGCAAGGATATGTCCGTATTTTTAGTAACGACGTTTATATTTTTTAGTTATTCATATAAGCACAGAACACACTTCAGATTGTGAGTTCACAACCGAAAGTGGTTTGGATGTCACAGAATAAACTGGAAAGAAAGACTCGCCATGGAAGTCGCACAAAAGATGGTCAGGAGAAGGACAAAGACTCGGGCAGGTTAGAGTACACCGAACATCTGGCATTGCCTCCTGTT